ATGAATGGTTGTGTCCATGTGCAGGTCCCCTGAGGTCCCAGGCCCTGATCCTTTTCTGTTTCTCAGCTCCCATTTCTCCACTCCTCTCCTCACCACGTGCATCCCCAACCCCAGAGCCACACTAGTTCAATCAGCAGAATAAAATGATCATTGCCAGGCAGATTAACCCTCGCTTTTACCGAAGAGGAAACCAGGTCCAAAGAGGGGCCCTCACCGCCTCCTCGCGGCATAGTTCCTCTGCAGCCAGGAGCTGTCTGCCCAAAGCCCAGGGCCGGTGCGGGACAGGCAGCGTCCAGGCTGTCCCCCAGCCCCCACGTGCAGGCTGGGCCACTGGAGCTCCAGGACCCTGTCCTCCCACCCACCCCTCTACAGGGGCTTGCAGCCCACACTTCCTCCAGGAATTCACAGCCAACCTGTGAAGGTGGTTTCTTTTCACTCGATTAAGTTTTCCCCTTTGAAGCTTTGTAGAGCAGTGGTTCTCACCTTCCTAATGCCGCGAGCTCCTGAGGGCAGGCACTGGGTCTGTTGGGCTCATTGCTCTATCCCCAGGACCTAGGGCAGTGGTTCTCAACCTTCCTCATGCCGCGACCCTTTAATACAGTTCCTCATGTTGTGGTGACCCCAATTTCATTGTTACAAATGGAACATAATTAAAGCATAATGATTAATCACAAAAACAATATGTAATTATATATGTGTTTTCCGATGGTCTTAGGCGACCCCTGTGAAAGGGTCGCGACCCACAGGTTGAGAACCGCTGACCTAGGGTCTCCGATGAATGGTTGTGTCCATGTCCAGGTCCCCTGAGGTCCCAGGCCCTGATCCTGGGGGCTTTTCTGTTTCTCAGCTCCCATTTCCCCACTCCTCTCCTCACCACGTGCATCCCCAACCCCAGAGCCACGCTAGTTCAATCAGCAGAATAAAATGATCATTGCCAGGCAGATTAACCCTCGCTTTTACCGACGAGGAAACCAGGTCCAAAGAGGGGCCCTCACCACCTCCTCGCGGCACAGTTCCTCTGCAGCCAGGAGCTGGCTGCCCAAAGCCCAGGGCCGGTGCGGGACAGGCAATGTCCAGGCTGTCCCCCAGCCCCCACGTGCAGGCTGGGCCACTGGAGCTCCAGGACCCTGTCCTCCCACCCACCCCTCTACAGGGGCTTGCAGCCCACACTTCCTCCAGGAATTCACAGCCAACCTGTGAGGGTGGTTTCTTTTCACTCAATTAAGTTTTCCCCTTTGAAGCTTTGTAGAGCAGTGGTTCTCAACCTTCCTAATGCCGCGACCCTTTAATACAGTTCCTCATGTGGTGGTGACCCCCAACCATAAAATTATTTTCGTTGCTACTTCACAACTGTAATTTTGCTACTGTAATGAATTGTAATGTAAATATCTGATATGCAGGATGTATTTTCATGGTTACAAATTGAACATAATTAAAGCATAGTGATTAATCACAAAAACAATATGTAATTATATATGTGTTTT